ACCTCTTATGGATTGTGTCAAAATGCCTGTCGGACGAGGCTCATATCGGTATGAGACGAAAACAATCCGGATCAGATTGGGCATTTTTCAGGGAGACAGCCACAGTCCTTGTTTGTCTTGTTTGGCACCAGACGCGCTTAGCAAGTTATCAAATAAATCATGGTTCAGCTACGTTATCAACAAGTGGAACAATACGACCCTCTTCCACATGTTCTACATGGATGATCTGAAACTGCACGCTACAAATGGAAAAAAATTGTAAACATCTTCGAGCTGATAACTAGCTTTAGCTGATTAAAATTCTAAGAAATTACGCAGTTTTGCATGCTAAAGGCGGAAAGCAGTCCCTGGTACGGGCAGAAATTCAGGAAATAAGCCAGGCACATTATTAATATCTGGAACTGTAACAAGCTCTCCGGATTGACAAGAACACAGTCCTCAGTCATAACTGAAATAAATGCATTCAATGCCTAGGCCTTGTTGGTGCTAGTTTACACATTTGAAATCCTGAAATGATTTCAGATCCTTCTCGATGATCATGACCGCATTGATGAATCTGCATAAGCACCATTCGACATCATCTGTTGCCAGGTAATGTTTACGAAGGAAGTACGGAGGCAGCGGCCTACTGGATGTGGCTGATCTCTGCATAGAAAAAAAGTGATACTTTCCAACGAAGAATTCATTTTGGCATAAAGCCGTCGCAGAAGCAAACAAAGGATATGGCTGTATGAAAGCAGTTATCAGATAGAGAAGATGGGTGCAATATATACACCTGATGAATGAAGTAAGAATGCTCTTCGTGGGCTTTAGAAAACTGTTTGCTGGAAAAAATGATGTACAGCGGCAATTTATGCTGAAGTATTGGTTATGAAGAACTATAAGAAATTCATCATGAAGGGAAATATATCGGATAAATGCAGGATGCGTGGCAGTACAGCGGAATCGATCCAACATATTGTCAAAGGTTGTTCCATCATGATTATCGTTGAGTACCTCAAACAGTACAATGCAGTACAATACAATACAACTGTCAATAATCGCTATTTGAATGATACCTCAAGATATCTCAAGAACGACGCTGTATTATTGATATCGTACAGTGAGTGTGTTTGAGTATGCAGAGTACCATCTATTCTGACCACACCGTGGTAAACATTCGTACCTTTGATCCAGAAATATTAATCCTGAATCGCAAGAACAGGACTGCTGAAATAATTTATGTTGCTGTTCCATTAGACGAAAGCGTGCAAAAAATTTGGCGGAGCAGACAAAAACAGATCAAAATCTGGTCGTCGTTCTGATGCGACCACATCGGTCAAAAACTGGAAGAGCAGCAGCAGTTGTCTTCTCTGTGAGGTAAATGGAAAATGAATGAATGAGGTCTTTGACCACCGGAAGCTCGCAGGAAGTCTACTGAAAATTTGTCAGCGAGCCACGGTTCTGGAAACATTCAAAGTAATACAGAAGATCACAGATATTGTAGATTTGTAGCTTGCCACAGCCAGTTGATTATGTTAGCCCCTTTATTCCGGCAAAAATCCTTTGTGTGAAAGAATATGAAACAAAAAAATTCCAAAAGAAGTAAAACTAGTTTGCTAAATAAAAACATGCAAAACATAAGAGCGCAACTTCAGACCTGTCTTTCATAAATCCTGTGTAATGTTTTTGGTGACTTTGCGATTAGCTGAGCTTCAGTCGTTCTACTTCGACTCGATGAATATATTTCTCTCTACCTTTCGCTACAAAGCTGTTCAAATCATTTACTGTTATTTGTAGCATAGATAACTCGAAGAAGGCCTCGATTGCAAAATGGGACCAATCAACAGGCATAAGACCCGAAGGCGTTTTACAGAGGAACGAGGAGTTTACATATTCCCTGAAAACGCCCCTGGTAAGAAATTATTTGTCTGTCGGCCACTGCCAAAGCTGGAGCTGTTTGTTTATGCGTTTATTATTGCGTGCACCATCGCGTACATGTGGTTTAAGGTCTACGAAGTCAGTTCTACTTATCCGTGGAGAAGATGCGCCTACAATTTCCAATGGAAAAAAAGCTGGCTGTTGGGTAAACGTCTGAAAGACGTTTCTGACCGCGGCTGGAGGGAATGGCACAGCCTCGCTTGCAGAGTTCTTCCGTTCTATCTACTTCACTTTGTGCTGTTCAATTTCGGATCAAAATTTTTGCCTCACGCGGCTTGGTCCATGACGGTGTTCATTTTCTGGACATGTGCCCTCTGCCACATCTATGGGTCATCTGTGGTGTTTGTAACCGCCGTATTCGGAGTCGCCTTGTACACAGTGGCGAAACTGTCGAGAAATCCCACGTTCATATGGTCGCTGACGTTCGGCTTTCTTTACGGAATCATTGAGCACTCACAAACGCTGTTCGACCGCACAGACTCTACCGAATGCGCCTCAGAAACGTTGTTCTGCGCATATGCGGCCGTTCACTTCATCAGCTGTTGTATGGACAGCATTAATTCGAAGCTGTTTGACAACGGTCACTTTGCCGAAGGTCTGTACGCAATGTTCTGGTACTCCTTTTACCTACCTTACCACGTCGTACTCATCGTACCCTTCAAAGACTTCACTCAGCAGCTAAACCAAAGAAAACAACTAAACACCAGAGGCCTTTGGTCTACAATTCTCTTTGGTCTGCGGATACTTGTCTGGTACGTGATCACCGACCTGGCA